TATACAGGTGCATACATCCTAAGAGCTGGGAGGAAGGGAAGTGGAAGGTTATTTGCCACCGAGATGGCCCATGAACGACTGGAAAAGGTAAGTCTGTTGGAACACAGTATGAGAGGCAAGATGGATAAAAGGTATAAACAGAATAGGGGTGTATTGTTGCTTCTGAGGGAGAAAAGAAGCCTAAGTGAAATAAATGGCAGAGACTGAGTTCCCACAGAATGAACCTTCCCAGGCTGAAGGGACTGGCCCTGCTCATTGGTTATATTATGGTCAGGGTATATGAAATATGATCACATTGCTGCTGCCAGGCACTGCTCAGCTGGCCCCAAGGCCACCCACACCTTCCCTGTAAACTGTGGATTGGGAAAGGAGCATCAAACCTGGGAGGCATCCTTGCCTTTCAAGAAATCAAGCATCCCTAATAGGAAATTGTGCCAGTTAGGAAGTGTCCTGGAAGGTGACTGCTCTTAGAAAGTGACACGGAGAAGACCATCCAAAGGACCAAGAGTGGCACTAGACAGAAGCAGAGAATGCAGAGGAAGGAAAGCAAAGTTATATCAGAAACCCGACTGGCTTCTTCTTGCTTCCATGTGCAGTGGGCTAAATCCAAAATTACCAGCTTTAGAAATATCTATTTTTATGACATTTCCTGTAATACAGGTTGATTGTAATGCTGCTAATAGTTGCCAGTGTTTATTGAATGGTGTGTTCAATGTGTCTGGCACGTTGCTAACTATCTGACATGCACTTTCTTATATTATTCTTGCTCAAAAGGCTATGTACTATTATTGTTATTAGTATGACTATTTCCATAAAGAATGCCAAAGAGATGGAGACATTAAGGAAGTTGCCAGCACATCTACTGGAGTGGCTGAGATGTGCAAACTGCACTACAGGGAAACGAGCAGGCCAGCTTTGGGGAATGTCACTCTTTCCATGGTGACCCCTCCAAGGCATGTGGAACAACTATCAACATTTTTAAAGGATATTGCTTAAATAATTCTCACAGGCAAGCAAAGAGAATAGGATATACATTTCTAGTACCACCTACCCAAAATACTCAAGGTGAACCATCACAGCAATGTCAATATTATTTTCTAAACTTTTTTTAAAAAATTGTAGGATAAAGAGAACTGCAAAGCGAATTATCCAGATGAGTAAGTTACTACGAGGAATTATTGTTGTTAGGCAAATGCCCTCGCAACTTACCAGCCATACCAAGAAGTAAATTGCCCGCCCATTGCGCCCAGCCCAGCACTGTCCCCTCCCTTCCCCTGAGAAAGGACTGGCAAGGCACAATACCTCCCTGCTTCTCCTTACAGATTTATCACCTGAACGTGTGCCTCTCAGTGCTGCAGTTGAATGTTCTCCTTCCCCAGCCCACAACTGCTGTTTTTATAAGTTTGTTTTAGTCTACAGCCTTTTCCTCCATCCATTCTGACCCTCTGCTTTCTCCCTATACAATTTTTGAAGGGACGAATGCTATGGTGTAGTGAATTAAACCATTGCTTCAGATGCCCAAATCCGGTGTCCAAGTGGACACTGAGTCTGGCTTCCACTTTCAATCTGGCTTCCTGCAGATGCAATTTTGGAGGCAGTAGATGGTGGCGCACGTGCTTAGGCCCTTGGTACCCACATGAGAGACCCATAGCGTTCCCAGCTCCTGGCTTCAGCCTGGCATAAGCCTTGGTTGCTGAAGTCGATTAAGGAGAGAAGCAGAGGATGAAAGATCTCTCCTCTCTCTCAAAAATAAATATCTCTCAATAGCTATTTTGAGTAAAGGAGGCCATGTATACCTGTAACCTGGTGAGGCTTGCTCCAGACTGATGACATTATCTTGAGTAATAGGACTAGTACAAATCAAGCTAGAAGGAGGGTGGTGGGTTGATCTAAATGCAAGCACCAGGTCTCAAATCACATGCAAATTTCAACTTTGTAACTTTTTTGTCTTTCTCTCCTCCTGCCTTCCCCTCCCCTCCTCCGTCCTATCCTCTCTTTTTTCCTTTCTTCTCTCTCTCTTTACAAATCCTCCACAGAGTGGCTTCGTTCCCACCTTCCTTCCACCTTCTTGTTCCCTTACATACACAGCTAGAAAATTTTGGAAAGGAAAAATGCCACATCACACAAAGAAGGAAGGCAGAAAATCAGTAAGTCTAAACAAAACAAGGATTTTTCTTAGAAAGGAAGTGGTCAGGGCCAGCAACTTCTACCAAGTCCTTTGATTATCGCAAAGACTTTGGCACATTTCTGTGAGAGACATTCCTACACAGCTCCCCCAGCAAAGGATGACGGCAAAGCAAAATCAATACAAAGGCAATGCAAAGCTCACCATGATTCTTCTCAGCTACAGTAAAAGATGATATATTCCTTGTGCCTGATGTTGATTCTACCCCCATCTCACCATTCTTTTCAAGCCTGATTCTCCAGCCATGACCTTCAGACATGGGATAAAAATAGCTCTGTAGTTAAACCTATTCTTGGGGCAGGTTCGTCAATGCCCCCTTCCTTAAGTGAGCAGTGAAGATAATAGGTACCTTACCAGGTCATTGGAGGCCTCAAATGAGCTAATAGCTATAAAATGTCACGCAGCCAATGGGCAACGACTGTCAACCTCTTCGCTTTGCCAAGTTTTATCAATTTCTCTCTGTGTTGACTTTAAAAATCCAAAAGTCCAAATAAAGAACATAAAAATTCTGAATTTTCATCCTGTCCTAGAGAGAACACCCCTTTCTGACGATGTCATTGTGGGTTTAGGTATATAGCAACATGCATACACTTCAGGAACCAACTGCAAAACTCCTCTTCCATCAAGTTGCCCTTACTGTTCCTCTCCTGTCCACTCCAGATCAAACACCACCTCTCTACAATGTCCTGGTCAAAAGCCATCACACTCTGAATTTCCATCAAGCCTTCCATCCCTCAAATGACACCACTCTTAGCACATACCACCTTGGTTTTGGCATTATCTACCCAGCTGATTTTTTTTTTTTTCCAAGCACCAGTAGCATTCCTGGAAGGAAGGGTTTTAGTTGGAGACCGTATTGAATATTCCTATAGTGCTGTGTACCTAGCAAGGAGTTCACTAAACCTCTTAGGAACATTATCCTCTGGTACTGAAAACTTCATAGCTCCAACATAAAGGAAAAGACAAAATTCAGCAGGTATCTGCCCTTGCATAAGCCCAGCTTCCCAGCAAACAGGCAGGCCAGACACAGGTGGCGCCTCTCTCAACATCCTTCTCCCTTCACTCCTTCCTCCCAGGCAGCTTCCCACCCAGCTGCCAACCTTCGCCTTGCTCTAAGAATCCCTCCTCCACACGCACATTTACCTTGGTGTTCCCTGACATGTACTCTAAGTGTCACTGTTAAATACCCACCCAGGACATGAAAACACTCCAGGGGAGTCCATTTTTTTCTATGGTCTGAGATTGACAGATCAGATCTGAGAGTTCTTGCTCTAAACAGAGTTATCAAATACACAAAGCAAGTGTTTCAGCTGCAATACAATTGACAGAAGCCAACATTCCAATTCCATCAAGGCCTGGCTAGCCGGCTACCAAGGCTGATTTTGATGGTGGGAGTGACAAACTAATCTCATGCTTTGTTTTTCTGGAATCACTGTCACATTCAGCCATCTCTACTCAGCGAGTATCAAACAAGAAAAGGAAAATTACACTTCATTTTATTTATACTGGCCTGGCCACACAAGAGGCACTCAATAAAAACGCGTTTGAGCAGATTTTAAAAACTGATTTTTACTTTTGTTTTCAACAAACATAATCACCCGAAGGACAGAATGCCATCGTCTTGCAAGATGGCCTCAACTTGCACAAAGCTGGGAAAAGTCAATTCCAGTCTTGTTTCAAACCAAGTATAGTTCGGATGTCAGCTGAGTAATTTCAGCTAAGCGTATCTTGGCTACACCCTTTCTCTCCTGTATAAACACACACTGTCAAACGCCAGTTAAACCTTGCAAGTATTATTTATTTGCCTCACATTCATGTCACATGATAATCTGTGTCTGGAGATCAGAGAGCCAAAATGATTGAGAATTCCAGGAAATGTGAAGGAAAACCAAAGACTCTAGAGGCTTCTAATGTGAAGACAAAGCTGTCCTATGCTTGGGGTGATGCCACGGGAGGTGCCATCTACTAACCCTCTAATTGCCTATCTAAGAAGAGATCATTCTTAAATGAATGCTTCTGGTATAAGCTGAGGATGACAGACACAAGGAAATTCAACCTTCGGTTATTGGTGAAAATCAACAGACTAGCCCAGTCAGGTAAGGACGCTTTGTGGTTACACAGCCAGAAAGTAGCCCTGGTTTTATTCAAGAACCAGCACAAAGTAACACACACACAACACGAGGAAGTCTGGAAACCGCCATGGGACGCTCATTTGCTTCCACTGGTAAGAACAGCAAGGCTGATTTTTTTTAAGTTTAAACCCAGGCAACAATAAACCGGCAGCTCCAAGTCCCTTTGACCTCATTAGATGTCTATTTCCAGGGCAAATCGGCCTTGTTTAGGCTGACAATGTGTCCCCAGAGGGTGGACGAAAGTCAGGCAGCCGCAGCCGGAGCTGAAGAAAGAACTGTGCCCAGGCACCGGGAACTAAACACAAAGGCATTCGTGGCAACTGACATCGGCTGCCCTTCTGAGTACCAGATGTCACTTAAAAAAAAAAAATCTGCAAAAGGGTCCTGGGGTGACAGTGAGTGAGATTCACTCCCCACTCCTAGTAACCCTACCGAGACAGGAAAGCGAGGATGGCTGGGGGCGGAGCTGGAGCCCAGCCCCGGAGACAGCGGAGACTTTGGGGGAAGGGGAAGAAGGGTCCTTCGCTCTCCCAGGAGAGCTGCAGTCCAGCCGGCGGGTGACGGGGCAGATGCCCTTGACCAGCGCTTCCTGCGAGTGGGCCAGCCGAGGCACGGGGGCGATGCACGCGGACTCGGGCCCGACCCCGCCGGGGACACCCCTCAGGCGGCAGGGCGGCCCTTACCTGGTTCCTGCGGTACCATGCGCCCGACAGGGAGCCATTGCCTGTGCCCGGTTCCCCGTACGTGAAGTTCCGGGATAGCTCGTCCAGGGCTGCCGAGGCGGCGTCCCCGAGGCCCGCGGGCGCCAGCGCCGCCATTAGGTCTGGCTCCCGGCTCCAGGTGCTGGGGCTCCGGCCGCGGTCGCTTCCTCGCCAGGCCGCGCGACTCGCCTACTTCCTGCAGCGCGGTGCTGGGCGAGACCGGAGCGGAGCCACCTGGCTCCTGCCCCCGCGCGCGCGGCAGGTGCTGCGCCCTCCTCGCCCCGGCCCAGCCCTGCCCCGCCCCGGCCAGCGCGGCCTCCTCCTATCGCAGGAGGTGCCTGGTGGGGAACCTGGCGGCCTGCGGCCTCCCAGGAGGCTCCGGAGTCTTCATCCCCGGGAGGCCCACCTGCCCGAGGACAGTGTCCAGGTGTCCGGGCTTTTTAACACCTGGCATACTCTCCTCTGCGGAAAATCAGGTGAAATCCCATGACCTTCAGGCCCTTGCGGTCACTTAGTAAATATTTGTCTAAGTGACGGAAAACGCCTGAGGAACTCACAGTAGCTGCCTTGCCCCTGAGAGTTCCGAGGTCTCCATCGCGTAGGTGATGGGCCTCAGTAATATTGTGAAAATGATTTGCATAGGGAACAGCTGTGAGTTCTCCAAGACTTGGTACTCCTGGAACTACTCCTGGAAGGAGGGCAGGACTAGCTTAGGGACCTCCAACGAGTGTTTTCAAAGTTGTTTCTCACTTACCTTCCAGAGATGCTGTCATCAGACATCCCAACTGGTCAGGATCCTACGGCGGAGCACTGGTGACTAGGTGGGCCTAGAAGAAGCCAAATGCCATCCTTTGGGGAGCTTCGATGCTAAGATCACTGCCTCAGGAGGAGCCTCATGCCTTGTTGCCTGAACAGCACTTTGTGAGCACGTGTTTCCAGAGTGCACCTGCTGGAGCGTCATGAACGAGACTTCTCCCGTTTCATATTCCTACACTTGATCTTAGCCAAAAGGCCGAGAAGTGATGTGTTTCATATTCCTTAGCCACCAGAAACAAGAGGCTATTCCTTGCTTGCTCGGGAAGTCATTGACTTTGGTAGTAAATCTCTGTGAACTCCTTAGTAGCTGCAGATAAAAGTTAGTTTTCATGACAACTACTTCCAGAGAAGGTTTCGATTTCCACGCCCTAAGAGGTAGGCTCATTTTGGGTGGATTACAGGACCGGAAGTTGGCAGCTACTGCATAATAAGAGAGTTTAGGATGGGCTGGAGTACACTAACCAGATGTTTGGTTCCACCTGTGTTGCGCTTCTCTGGAGTCTCTGTGTCAGATTAGGAAGCTCTTGCTCCCTCTGTGACTTCCAGTGCTTCCACACTGGGGCCTGAAGTGCTGAGACCGGGAAGACGCTTGTTGTTTGCACAATATGGAGGCGCTCCCAGGGCAACGGGCGGGCGTGGGTTTCCCTGGCTTCCTGAAAGACAACCCTTCAAGACAAGGGACGGGCGGGGGAAGAGGGAGAAGGTTCTGGGTGTTTCTTAGGGAAATGTGCAAATGAGAGAAGTGAGAAAATGTTATTTCAGACACAGAACAAACAAGACATGTTGTCTCGGGAGTTGTGTCATTCTTGCTTGGACACCCCAAATGTTCTGTGACTGGTTCATAGCTGGTTGTTCCCAAATGTAAGAGCCCGGTTTGCATCAAGTAAGCAGTTGAAGAAGAGTTTGCGGGTCATATTCTCTAGCCTACTTCATGGATTTGTGTTGGTGACTTTAATAAATTCTTCTTTCTCTTCATATTTTTTTTTAGGGTGCATGTAACAGAATAGCCGAGTAAACATGGCTTAAACAATAAGCATTTGTTGTCTCCACAGAGGCTCTATTCTATGTGCATCTGCAATGTTATCACTCCTTTTTTTGGTCTCTGCTGTTCCTGAGTTTTTTGTTTATTTTGTTTTAAGAGGAAAAACCTTTCCCAGAATTCCCCTAGCAACTGTACCTCTTGCATCCCATTGGCCAGGTCACATGCCCAGGTCCCACCTGCAAGGGAGGCTGGGAACCTGATTCCCACACACTTGCAGTTTTCAGAGTGGGGGATTAGCTCTACCAGCCAAGAACCACCAGGGAAGGGTGGGAGTGAGGGGTGGGGGAGTTGGCAGAGCCTGGCACAATCCTACTCTCCTACTCCAGAATTTTCTGTCAGCCAGATTGTGAGCTGGTCTACCATCTCCAACAAGCAAAATACCGAATGGGTCACATTCCTTTCTCAAGAAATGAAAATGCATTAAAACCTCTATGTTGAGACAATAATCTTAGCCAATCTTGAATCTGGCATGTGAGACCCCATATGATCTGGCCATATTCAACTTATCCCAATTTATCTTTTTAATTCAAAAGATATCACTTTCGGCTTCCTTCCATTGGCTTACAACCTCCAGTTTGAAGACAGCGCTGGGCACAGACAAGACCTGCTGGTGGCCTACGTCGTGCTGTTCTTCAGATCTCAGTGCATCCTGCCTTGGCCTGTGGGGGAGGCTGAGCCACAGATGTCGTGACCAGCATTCCTTCCCTCACAGTTCACAGGGGGGCGGCAGGAATGTCACCAGCTATTTTGGGCACAACTGTGTAGGCAGAGCCATGGAGACTGTGCCAGCTTTGGGATGGCCTTGCAGGGTTTCTTCAGGGACATTCTGTTCACTCTATAAGAGGGCAAGGCCTTTGATCAACATCCCTTCCCTGCTGCCCCAGCCTAGCACTGCACTGTGAAGGTAGGTCTCCCTCCATTAACTGCAGGAATTCTGTTCTGGTGCCATTGTCATTTGATGCTGGACATCAACTTTTAACCCTCTTGCAAATGGAGATCATCCATTTGCAGTATTAACGGTAGTTATTTTAGTTTGTTTAAATTTATCTTTTTTAAAGGACTTACCTATTTTTATTAGAAAAAGCAGATCTACAGACAGAAAGAGACACAGAAAGAACTTCCAGCTGCTGGTTCACTCTCCAACTGGCCACGATGGACAGAGCTGAGATGATTCAAAGCCGGGAGTAAGGAGGCCCTTCTAGGTCTCCCGCCTAAGTGCAGGGTTCCCAGGCTTTGGGCCCATCCTCTTCCACTATCCCAGGGCGCAAGTAGGAAGCTGGATGAAAGTGGAACAGCTGGGATATGGGCCAGCACTCATAGGATTTCAACACTTGGAGGTATAGAATCAAGACATTTGAACCATTGTGCCAGCCCTGTTTAAATTTATCTTTAGCTTGAGTCAGTCAACAGTGTTTAACAACAAGTATTTCACAAATGATGAGTGTCCCGGGGGCTACATCAGGTGGTGCGTTTTAGGGGCATTGTTTTATTTTTTATTACTATTATTTTAAAGATGTATTTATTTTTATTGGAAAAGCAGGTACACAGAGAGAAGGAGATACAGGGAGAAAGATGTTCCATCTGCTGGTTTACTCTCCAAGTGGCCTCAATGGCTGGAAACAATCTGAAGCCAGGAGCCAGGAGCTTCCTCCAGGTCTCCCATGCTGGTGCAGTGTCCCAAAGCCTTGGCCCATCCTCTCTGCTTTCCCAGTCTAAAAGCAGGGAGCTGGATGTGAAGTGGAGCAACCAGGATACAATTGGTGCCCATATGGGATCCTGGCGCATGCAAGGCAAGGATTTAGCCACTTGGCTACCTTACCAGGCCTCATTCTTTTTATTATTAACTTTCAAGATACATATCTCTGCTTTATTGCTCTTTTGTAACTGTGATATATTTCATAACTAATATAAAAAACTAATCCAGAAAAAAATCAAGATTCTGTGGTCAGAAGTTTCCAAAGTTAAAGCTGTGTAGACTTGGTTTAAGCACTGTCTTCTGCTCCCGGTCTGCTGCATGCCTTTACTGCACACTTGGAGAGATTCCGTGTCCTAATTCATAAAGTGGGAAGCAGTATATCGATCCCCAGGATTGTTGTGAACATTAAGTCCTAGATGATATGAGTGGGAAACACCTTGGAGATCAGCTCAGTTCACCAAATAGTTTGTGCCAGAAACCAAGAACACAAAGTTGTGAAAAGCACAAGTCTCACTCTGCAGTAAACAGACACACAGAGCAGTGGCTTCAATATTACACATCTACTTCAGTACAGGACAGGGAGAGGACAGAGAAGACACACTCAGCTAGGGTCAGCAGGTGCAGCCTGGGAAGGCTGCCTGTAAGCAGTGACGATGCATGAAGGGCATACTGAGATGTGTCAGCTAGAGGGAGAAGAGAGGGCAAGAGGCAAACAGGGCTGATGATAGGAAAGGTTCAAGCAAAGATACAGGGGCATGAGACTGCAGAGCATGAATGGAACCACAAGGAACAATCCCTAGTAGGAGATATGGTTGCCCCAGGGATTCATGGGGGATTGCTTCCAGGGACCCTTACAATACCATGATTTGTAGATATATTTGAATCTCTTATATAAAATGTCACAACCCCCACACACCTTCCTATATACTTAAATCATCTCTAGATGACTTAGAATACCTAATGCAATGTAAAAGCTGGGTAGGTAGTTGTTAGAGTGCATTGCTTAGGAAATGATGACACGGAAGTCTTTGTATATCCAGTATGCAATGTCTCATTCCCCTGAGTATTTCTGCTCTGCAGTTGGTTGACTCCAAAGTTGTGGAATCTGCAGATAAGGAAGCTGACTGTAAATGCTCAAATAAGGATAAAGGGGCAACAGGACCAACAGCAAGATTTTGTGTGTTGGCTTCTCAAGGTTGGGCTTGAACTACTCCAGACAAGTGGGTGGGCAGGACTAGTAATACAAAAGATCCCTTTGGAGAGACAGCAGGTGTAGTTTCAGAGGAGACCCACTGGAACTGGGTGGACTAATTAGGATCTCTGAGAATGCAGGACAGAAGGAGACAGAGTAAAGCATACTTAGAAGGGAATCCTGCAGGGGACAGGGATGGGAAAGAGAAGAGAGGAACTAAGATAGACTCTCGTTGAGCTATGGGGTACAAAGGCAGCATCATTTACCCACGTGGGGAAAAGGAAAGAGCTGCTGGGTTAGCAGGACAGGATGAGAGCAGCTGGATACTTGTTGAATTTAAGGAACTCAGGGAGCACCCCAGCAGAAAGGGA